TGAAATATTTTACCTAATTTTACATATCAAAATATTTCTTCTATTTTTGATTTATCTTTTCTGGGATTGCTAAAAATGACTCCAATATTCTACAGATGTGATAAATTGGATTATATCATTTATCCATTTTTTTGAAGTTTACAAACTTCTGTCTCTCTACTGTAAAATTTATCTTATAAATTTAATTATAAATAACATAAGTTTAACTTGGGAAGATATAATATAAATTTTAAAAATATAATTTAAATATTTTCATAATCTAACCATCAACACTTCATTTTATCCCAGTTGTATGTTCATTTTCTAGGAAATTAAAATATTTTCATATATATCTATATGTTGACATTATAGCATTGTATCATCATAAAAATCCATTCATTAGAATCTGGTAATACATGTTTCCATACATGGCAATGTACACATTATTTTAGCTACAAAAATAATTCTATTACAAGGTGGTATGCTAAGAAACCATATCAGATTCTATATAGTATAAATATAATCCCATGGTTGTAAAATAATAAAAAATGAACAAAACACAGAAAAATTTAGAGTGTGTTATGGATGCATAGATCCACATATCGTAACATGTATATACATCAGAGCTTAGCATATCACATTCTAAGTATAAATATAGCATAGTTAAAACTATGGAATTATCTGTTTGCTTCCTTTCAAGAATGGACCTTAACAAAAATAATACAGTATTATATGTACCAAGTATGAGGGAAGTCAGCCACAAGACAGGGAAACAACAAAATGCTTCACCATAGACATCTCATGCAAGAATAGGAAAATATAAATGATGACTTTAAAGAAACATTTTTCTCTGATTTAGAGAGATAAAGAAGAATAGGCATATATTAGAGGAAAATACACAGTAAGGAACCCAAAGCAAACCAGTTAGGAGAAGTGAACCAAACAAAATTCTGGAAATTACTGTGGCAGAGCTCAAAGAAACATTTTCCTTGGTGTATGTGCTTTAAACACGTAGGCACAGACGGAGACAAAGTTCGAAGCTGCTGAGTTAATAGGCCCTCTCAGCTCATATGTGAATGTAAGGGGACTAATTTGGTAAAAGAACAACCTTGTGCAATCGGAGTTCTGCTCAAGAAGTTTTTCCTGTGCTGTGACTTCAAGGGTTTTGATTAAAAGTCATCATATTGCAGAAACATGTCATGCTCACGTTTATAGCAGCACAAATTAACAAGAGTAAAATCATGGGAGTGGAATCTGTACCCAAGTTGTGAATGCATAAAGAAAATGTAGTTCACACACATGCTAGAGTATTCTTTGGCCATAAAGAAAGAAACCTGAATCCTTGGTAGGGAAGTGGGGGTCTTGAAACCATAATGCTAAGTGAAACAAGTCAGTGGCCAACAGTTACATATCACATGGTTTCCCTACAGTGGGAGGACCAAAACACAAATAACTTAGAGAGCAAAATGGAAGACTTGTGTTAAGAAATGGACAGAGACTCTGTAAATTGAATCTGATGAAATGGGGTGAAGGGATGTTGGGGAGGAGAAGGGGAGTCAGCATAATCCAATCTGATATTTATACATCTCAACCCCAAGCTGAATATAACTACTAAAAACTATGAATCTCAAACCTATGCCAAATAATTTTTTAAAAAGAAGAAAAAGAAGGACCCTAAGGATCCATATGGAACAAGGGATTTGAAGAGATCATTATGACTGATTCATTCAAATCATCACACTACGCTGAGCCTCCTGATACTGTGGTCTCATTTTACTTTTCCATAACCCACTAAATCTGTGGAGATTAAAATCAAAATATAGCTTTTGGGTAAAGAGTAACACAGAGACACGTATGGACACTAGACATTGTTGTAATCATTGCAAATACTACAGAAGCCATTTGTCTCCTCTTCTCTACTTATTTCTCTGCCTAACTTCCAGGTAGCCTACAACTCTGCAACCTCATCTCATAGGTTTAGACAACCTGTTCTACATAGCTATAACATTTTTAGTTATGACAGTTTATAATAAGACAATATTTTATCATATGTGACTCATGTTTGGCAGCATTTTCAAATATGACAAGTAAAAACAGGGTCAATGCTTAAATATATTGTGAGCCCATCTGTACTTGCTATACATTCTGGAGGAAACCATAGCAAGTTGACATTCCAGGTTCACACACAGAAATCACACTGTATGAGAATTTTAAGAAAAGATATTGCACAGCTTTTTCTGTGCTTTTCGTAGGGCACAGTTTACATCTTTATTTCTCAAGCTATAGATCAAAGGATTCAACATGGGGATGACCAGGGTGTAAAATATGGAAGCCACTTTGTCAGTGTCAAAGGAGTGACTGGACTTGGGCTGCATGTACATAAATATCAGGGTCCCATAAAACATGGTGACCATGGTCAGGTGGGACCCGCAGGTGGAGAAGGCCTTGCGTCTGCTCTCTGCAGAGTTCATCCTGAGAATGGCTATGAAGATGAGCAGGTAGGACACGAGGACCACAAGGAGAGAGGAAATCAAGTTAAAAGCTGCTAAGATTAGCATCATCACTTCAACTTCATGTGTGTCTGAGCAAACTAAAGATAACAAGGGAAGACTATCACAGTAGAAATGATTGATGACATTGTATCCACAGAAGGACAAAGTGAAAATCTTTGTAGTGATCAAAAGAGACACAAATGTGCAGTAGAGATAGGGAATAGCCACTAGTACCCAACACACCCTTGGTGACATGACCACAGTGTAGAGCAGAGGGTTACAGATGGCTACATAACGGTCATAGGACATAGAGCACAAAATAAAAAGCTCACAAGCAACAAACAAAAGAAAGAAAGCCAGCTGTGTAGCACAACAATTATATGAGATTGAATTTTGATCCATAACAAAATTAGCCAGCATTTTGGGCCCCACAGCTGTAGAATAGCCGAGATCAGTGAGAGCCAGGTGTCTGAGGAAAAAGTACATGGGAGTTTCCAGCCTGGGGTCTACCAGGGTAAGGACAATCATGCCCAGGTTGCCCAGCAGTGAGCTCAGGTAGATGATGAGAAACAGGAAGGACAGTGGGGCCTGCAGCTCAGGGTGAACTGTGATGCCCAGCAGAATGAACTTGGTCACCGCTGTGAAGTTGTGCCCCTCCATCCAGGGTGATCTGAGAACCTGCTCTAGGTAGAGACATCAGCATGGTCAGCATCTTTTCAATAATATCACCTGGATGAATTTTATTATGTAGAGTTAGTGCAAATATACTCTATGGGAATTTTTCAACTTAAAATATTTGAAAATAAGCCCAACTTTCTTTATGGTTCATCTATGGTGATTTTTTTCAAAAAGAACATTATTTATTTCCAGAGATATTTAGATTTTTAGAACAGAAGTGCACTGCTGCTACTGGCATCTAAAGGTTAGAGGACCTTAACATGTTAAATGTCCCATCATATTCATTTTCTAGCTCAAAATAATATCCATATCAATAATCTCTTTCTAATATTGAAGAAATCTAATAGGTACAGATAAATATATGGAAAGTTGATAGTTATAAATAACAATATAAAGATAGGTGTTTAAAAAATAAAAATGAAAGTAAATGAATAACAATGTTACTGCATTTTAAATTCTGTAACTGTTATTTATGTAACAGTTACCTAGCTACATTTCATAGCAACATTCTACACTCATGACAAAATAGCTACACTCTTAACAAAATAAGATATTCTAATGATAAATTCCTAAATTTCATATACAATTGCAGTGTGCTGTAATTTGGAGTTACATTTTTTTTTTTTTTGGTACCAGGGATCAAACTCAGTAACCTTGCACTTTCAAGGCAGGCACTGGAACCACTGAGCTAAATCCCCCCCCCACTTGAGTTACTTTTTTTGAACTTTTAATGTATTTTAATATAATATAACTTCACTAATATTTAAAATAGTAGCATTCCCTTGGGAGCATTGCCATTATAACTGTGATATACTTATGTGAATTTAAGAAATAAGGTGTGTGTTACATGAAAAAATTTCATAGTATTAAGAGGAAAGTTTTTAGAATTGAATTATATAATGAAAACTATATGTTTGCTTAAAGTAAAAGGGTAGTATATTTTAAAGAAAAAACTTTAAATATTTATAGTATGTTTCATGCTTCTTATTGAATAAAACTTTTGGTATGGTACAAAGTATCAAGAGACAAAGTAAACTATAATAAACCCAAGTATTACATGAATTCCTGATGGAGGTTAAAATTCTTCTTTTAATTGTATCCCCAAGAACTTCCTCAAAATATTACATAGTACATAATGCTAGTGAATATGTGTATGAACAAGTAAAATATAATGGGAAAATCTCAAATAAGCCAGAAATTAAAAAGTATAACATGAAAGCAGGCAGATATTTTGGTCAAACAATTATTACTTTTGTATCATACTGTGAGTACTATTTTCAAAATTAAAAAATAAATTATATACTTTGCAGCAAAAATTGTAGACATATTTCTCCAAGTAAGCTATAAGCAAACCAATAAAAAGACACAATTTCACAACATGTGTACAATGTAGTTCATATAATTTACACCTTGCTTCCTTAAAAAATGCCTTAAAAGGGCATTGCTACCTGCCAAGCTCCACTTCTCCACCTGGGCTGTTTTCTCATTTGAAATATATCAGGTAATAACATTTTAAAAAATGCCTCAATAAACAAATAAATGGTATAAATCTTGACTTTTGTTGTTGTTGTTGGTTTGGTTTACAATCATGAAAAATAATTTAAAATAAAGTGGATATAGTGAATACTAATAAGTGAAAAAAATAAATTCTTTCTTATAAGTGACAGAAAGATCATTTTTTTCTCAGTAGCCTTGGAATTCATTGGAAATAACTGAACTGCTCTTCCCTAGTTTGCTGTCTTACCTGGATGTTTCAATTTTATTTTTAAAATCTCTACTCTGAGGAAAATTTACTCAAATTCACTATAAAATGAAGAACACTTTACTATTTCTATAAATATTAATATTTAAAATTCTGAAATTCAGTATTTTCCACACCTAATTGTGAGGCCAAAAGTCTATTTTCCACATCAGGAGATCTGGAGGGAGTCGTATTTTGTACATTTAATTATGCAATTATTAAATGCTAAAATATTCTCCAGAAATACACTCCAGAAAGAGTGTAGAGCCAGAATTAACTGAGGATTGGAAAATTGCAGTTAACGGTCTCATTACTGAAGTTCCAAAATATGGCACTCAGTAAAATCATGTTCTATTATCAAGGTTTTATGTCTTCTTGACATTAGACTCCTTTCAATAAGAAAAAAATAACCTATGTACGATTGTGTGTTTTCAAAAGAAAACACCCACTCTGTGTTTCTAAGATGCTCCTGAGCATTCATCTTCTCATCCTCGGAGAAAATGTTCAAACATCAAAATCAAGAGAAGAGAGAGATCCTCTTGCTGCTCAGGCCCTATGGAGCTGTAAAGAGCACACAAACGGAATCCTAGATGCTGTCTGATTAGATGGCAAAGCTGAGTAAAACTGTGGGCATTTCTGTAGGTTCTGAGATATCAGTTTGACATACAGCATCACATGAGACCACCTGTCTTTGTTACCTGTAATGAAACCTCCCTCTGGATTCTCCCACCAGTATGCTTCTTAACATGGGGTTTGAGGTTTTGAGGGCAATTTATCCTTCTTGTAAAAGCTTTGAAACTCTCCCTGAGGAGATGCCAAGAAATTTGCTGGCTACCCTTAAAGCCATTGAGAACTTGATGAACTATTTGGAGATTATCCACTAATTGGCAGTGGCTATGCACTTATTTAGTTATGGAGTTATGTGTTTGTTTCACAATCCAGAAATCTCACTTATGAGTAGTTATCCAAAGTACTGGCATTAGAGCTTAAATAAATTTTCACATTCTCATGTTCATAGCAACACAATATAAAGCTGTGGAAAAGCTTAATTACCTACTAATACTTGAATAGTGATTGCTACACATGACTTATTACTCAGTGTTTAAAAAGTGAAATTCTGCAATATGAATTAGCAAGGATGAACCTAGAGAACATTATGCTACATGAGATAAACAAGTAACAAGGCAAACAGTAAATTCCTATTTATATGAGGCATTGAAAATACTTTTTATAACACAAAAAGAAAATGAGAGTTGCTGAAGGCAAGGGCTGAGAAGAAAGAAGCAGCTACTCATAAATAAAGATAAAATTTCAGTTATGCAAAATAAGTCAATTTGTGATAGTGTAAAACATTCTAGTTGTATTAAACAATATAATATCGATTGTGTATTTGAAAACCTTGAATGTATACCTCAGAGTTAGCATAAAAAGTGTTAAAGAACTGAGGTTCCAACACACACTGTGACAAACACTGGAATGCTTACAGATTCAAAGTAGCCATGCAATGAAGATCCTCTTTGGTATAAATAATTTACAAAAAAATTTCTGGAGTGGAGCATACAAAGAGATGAAAAATAGACTACCAGCGGTTGAAGAAATTCATGAACCAGGAGGAATTACAACTGGGGTACACAGTATGGATGGAAATGTCTTAAAATTTGACAAAGGTGAGGGTTACTCAATATTGAGAATATAATGACTGACACTAAATTGCTCTGCTTGAAATAGTTAATCTTATGACATATGTATTTTACCTAAATGAATCAATTTTAAATAAGCATATGAAGTTTTACACATATATTTTTGTGTGTCTTTCTAGTGAAGTAACTATTATATTTGGCCCATATAATTTGTATGCATCATTGATAATCAATGGAATTTATAACACTCAATGGATTGATTTTCTCTATGGTAGCTTTTAATTTATAGAAGTTTAAATTTGCATGACTCAAAGTAGTTCACAATTGAAAAATTACTCTTTTTAAAAACATGCTGATCAACTAGTGGTGTCTTGCAAACATTACAATTTTAGTCATAATAACACTGCTATACATTTTCTTAAATTATAATATGTTTTGTTTTTAAAATTTTAATTTAATTTTTTAATTTATATATTAATTGGTACATTTTAGGTATACAATACATTTACATTTATCATTGGGTGTTTGTACCTGAACATGATGTATCTTAGTTCTTATTTTTTTCCCCATTACCTATGCGACCTTCACCCCCACCACCCTTCCCTATTTACATAGATTTTGTTTCCATTTTTTTCTTTCTCATAATTTTTCCTTTCCTATCTTCCCTTTCCCCTTCCCCTCCTGCCACCCCTCCAATTTTTTAGCCCATGTTAGCATATACTTTCATTGTGGATATTTGTTACCTGTACATGACTCACCTTCAAACTTTCTATGTTCCCTTCCCCTCTCCTATCTACTCATCCATCTCTTGGTTTTCTTCATATTTGCAAAAGATCTACCATCCCTAATACCTTAGATCTATCTATTATTTTGCCCATTAATTCATACACATTTCAGTTTTCCATATAGAAAGAACCATATGGTATTTCATTTTGTGTATCTGACTTATTTCTCTTTTATTGTGACTTCAAGTTGTATCCATTTTCCTACAGATGACTTCAATTCATCCTTTATGGCAGAGTAGTACTCCATTGTATGGAAATACCACACTATCTTTATCTAGTCTTCTGTTGATGGACCTATAGGCCATTTCCAAGATTTAGCTATTACAAATTGTGCTGCTACAAACATGGGTGTGCATATATCACTGTTAAATAATGTCTAATCCCTTGGGTGAGATACCTACTGGGAGAATGAATTTCTGCTTCTTGTTGTTTGAGGGATACCCACAGTGGTTGCATAGTGGTTGTACTAGGTTACTCTCCTATGAGCTGTGGAGGAGAGATCCCCTCCCTTCACAGTCTCCCCAGCCTTTGTAACTCTGATTTCTGGATGACTTCCATCCTTAGAGGAGTCAATGACATCACTGCTACTTTCATTTACATATCCACAATGCCCAGCAGTACTGCCATCCTCTCATGAATTTATGGACCATTTGCACTGTTCCTGCTGAGAAGTGTCTATTCATTTCAGTTGCCCAGTTTTTGATGTGGTATTTTATTTTGAGAGAGTCTAAAGTTTTTTAGTTTTGTATATGTTCTCAGTCCTCAGTCAGAGATGAAGCTAGCCATATCTTTTCCAAATCTAAAGATTCTTTTGTT